TGTTGAAAACATGACGGATTTGCCTTGATATTGAGCTCTGTCAGTTGAAAAATGGCTTTAGCTCACCAACGAGCACGGGCACCCCAATTTTTTTTCAGTCATTGTAATCAACTAGTCATAAGATTTGTGTGAGAAAAGACTGATCTAATTTCTATTGCTGAAAATTGAATAAATAAGAAAAATAGCAGATACACTGTGGTCTTTTCTATTTTGCAGTGACCGGTAACCACATCAAGAAATTTGGTTCAAATTTTTAATCAAGGATTTAGCTTTCTGTCTGAACCAAACTTAAAGTGTTTGTTTGTGTCCGACACAATGTAGTGACTGTAGTTTGCGTGTTCTTGTGAGTCTGGGCTCACAAAGATTTTACAATTACTGGGTATGCGTTTTTATAATAAGCATTAAATAATGCCAAAATGGGGCATTTTTAATGTCTCACTGCTCCTTAATGAGCATTGGCACCCCCTTTTTTATTTCAAAATTGAAGTTATCATATGACAAATATTCAGTGGACAAAGTTTGAACAAAAATCTATTGTCACTTTTATTTCAGAGGAATTACCTTAATAAGCTTTTGTTAATCCTTTTTGGTGGTTTACCTTGGGAGCCTGCTAAAGTTCTTTCTTTGTAAAATTTTCAACGCTCTTGACATTATTACATCACTATAATAATTGTATTATGATTTGATTGCAAGACTTGACAAAGAAGTGTGAGTAAGTCTCTTGGTTTAAAATGTTCTGTTTCGTGCAAAGAATTAGTCACACAAATATCTTGTATTTTGTTGTGCAGGTATTTATTTTGAGTAGACATAACTACCTGTAAATACAAAACTGATGTAAACCTAGTGTTCTGTTCCATTAATAATTTTGCCTGTGTCAATAGAGTGTCGTATAAGTGTCGAGCGAGGGTATTGATTGACACTCAAGCACAGATTCCTTTAGCACACATGATTCTGAAAAGAGTGGAAACCTGGGCTAAGGCTAGTAGCCAATTCAGAAAAAGAAAACTTTGCTATGATCGAGGCAAGTCTGGTTGGGATTAACACAATGCGGGCTAAGAATGCTAGATGTTATTGTTTGTGTTGTTTTGTGTCCATAAATACACACAAAAGAAAACAAAACACAGAACATTAAATAATAATAAAAAAAATAAATTACTTAATTGGCCACTCCCCATTAGGGCTTTTTAGGACCAATGTAAACAAACATTGGGGAGTGTTCATAATTTATGAGGAGTGGGGCTGTAAGGATTTTGCAATTTTAGATAATATTTTATGGGTGGCCCATCACTCAAACCTGGGATGGTTCTCAGTGATACCAAATCAATCAAATACCAAAGATTCTGAGAGTGATGAGGAAATCCTGGTTGAAATAGGAAGTGAGCCTGAAAGTGAAAGTATGTGCAGCGAAAGCAGTAATGACGAAAATGAGATTGACAGTGATCAAGCACCACAAGTGGACGGAGATCAACACGGTTTCATGTCCATTAAATTAACGTAAACTGATGTTTCTCTTCAGCCTCCCCCCTTTCAAAGTCTTTGCTTAAAATCTTTTCTAAAGCCTTTCTATTATAACAAGTATAATCAGAAGTGAATAAAATAATTTTTAATTGATATAGCTCAAAAGTTGCGCATGCACTATTACACTAACTATTATCATTAAGTAATGGAGTCTCATTTTGTTTCTCTGTTGTGACAGGTTGACTATGATAATCACCCACATTTTAAGAGCAAGAATATGAAGGGCTCTAAACGTGGTTCGCCCGTGAGAATCTTCACCAACATTAATCCTGCTGATGTGATTCTTCCTTCTGCTGAAGGTTACAGGTACAGAAATGTAATGTTCAATGCTTCAATGTTGGGGAATAATCTGTTACAATTTAGTACTTGATCTCAGCCATAAGTACTTTGCCCCCAGGGCTGCTGTCTTTGAATGTAGTAAATGCTTATGGCAACTATTAGACCAACTTTATGCGCAGTTTTTGTTTTCCTGATGTGCTGATTTTTGGGATTTATATCTGTTTGCTTATTCGCACAGTAGTGGTTAGTTTGTAATCGGCTTACTGTGATCTCTAGATTTCTCTGCATGACCTAAACCCGTCACTTCAACCTTTTAAGCCTGTCATTTGTTGTCAAGATTGGTTAAATTGTGAGAGAGTTGCGTGAACCGTAGACTCGGATACTAACAAAATAAAACGCTAAAAACAGCCTGTCACAAATGCTTGAGTCTCTAGCTACATGCCAATGGTTGAAACTCGTCTTTCCAAAATCAATAGCCCAAACTTCCGTCAATTCAACGTGTTATGCCTGTCTTTCGTGGCCAGACCGACCGCCTTTCACAGCAATTTCATTGCTGTAAGCCAGTATTTCCTTCTTTCTATTCGGTCAATTCTTCTTGAATCAATCCCATACCATTTTGAACTCTCTGAAGGATGGTCATATTAGAGTTCCAGTTAGTATTATGCAATTACTGATTGGAACCTCCCTTAACAGCTACCTTCCATAACAACCGGAACTTGTTTCCGACTTTTTCTCCAATTAAATTATCCCTACAATGGCCAACTGTATCACACATTTAAGGATATTAAAAATCATCTCAGTTGTGTACACAACTTTACGGGTGAATGTATGAAAGATTTAGGTATTTGAATAGCGGGATAAAGATATTTTTGAAACTGCCTAAGCTCCGTACACAACTGCAATGCAGTTGAAATATATGATCTTTCGTGTAAAGCTGTTTCGACAAAGGTTCCACACCAGCTCCAAGCAACAATGCAGACTGGTATTATAGTTAGTGCATCTCGCGTTCGCCGAGATACTTTTGTAGGACAACCCCTCTGAAAGCAGTTGTATACACTTGCAGTAATAATAACAAGGTATTTTTCTCGCTCGTGGTCCATTGATTACTGTTGAAGTTACTGGCCGTCGGCGGCACGGTAAACAGCTTTGTGGTGGAATGTAGAATTCCTTGCCGAGTAGGTTTAGCTTCCTCAAACCTTTTAAAAGATCTTAAAACGAAGAAGATTTAACACTGTTTAACAGCAAGGAATGTAAGCTTATGCTTATCATCAAAACGTTCTTTTATGAGTCAACCAAAGTTGCAAAAGCAATAATCAATACGTACTCTCCTATAACTTTATAAAGTTCTTATTAGTTTGCTATTCATGCAGGCTTCTAAATTTTCGATGTAAGGTTTTAATTTATGTAAATTTACCTCACGTTTTCCAAGTGGTCTCGTAGATAGGCTGCACCCTGATTTGTTACGAAAATTTTTAATTTAAAGGTGCGGGTCATACGCCGGTGTTTACGACACATATGTTCGCCATCTACTGGTCTTTTATGAACTCAAAGCGACTAGCTCACAACGTGACTGGTTGGCTTGATAGCTCAGGTGGTATTGCACTGCACCCGGCAGTATCACAGAGGTTTTGGCTTTGAATACCGGTCAAGCCTGAATTTATTTCAGGCTTTTCTCGCATTTTAAACATATATGGTCAAACTGTATTAAATATTGGGTGTCAGAATATTACATTCGTGGTTGAACTGATTGTTGTCGTTTTCAGATTTTGCAAGAACTGTAACAGATTTGTAGCACCTGAAAATGTTCACTGTAAAAAATGCAGAGGTTGTATGTCAAAGGTAATGCATATGAATCCATAAAACAGTGCACGAAAAAAGATATCCTGTAATACTTAGAGTGTTCTTTCCTCAAAATGCCTTTCTAGTGTTGTGTCTCATCACTAATGAGTCATTACTGTAAGAACATGACACTAAGCACGGTTTTTATTATTTTGTCAGGATGGAAGGCAATACGTTCACTGTGACATGTGTGGCATATGTGTTAAGCCAGGTAAGTATTACCACATTTATCGTGCGATTACTTCCTTTACCGTACCCAAATTTGCAATTAGCTAATCAGAAGCCGTGTCTACTGTCCTGATATGCTGCGATATTAAGTCACCTGATATGGTTATGGTATCATGCTCGTTTGGCAAAATTTGTGTACGGTAAATACCTAATCGTACCTTTTTGGCACGCTTCGGTGGCATATCAGGCTTGTGCAGTCTCGCCATGGATATTTTGCTCGACTGTGTCTCGCCAAAATACTAACGACGGCTTGACCAAACTCGACTGATATGCCGCAGAAGCGTACTAAAAAGGTAAAATTAGGTATAAGAATTGTACTCCACTCGGTCCAAATACTATTATTAATCACATCTGTTACAGAATTCTCGATCGTGATTGGTTCTCGACGCGCTTATTTGTCACGTAATCGGCGCGCGATCCGGTGGTTGTTCAACTGCAAGTTTTTGTAGTTGGATAGCTGTAATTGGAGACCGACACACCGTGATTGGATATCATCATCACGTCTTGTAAGAGACTTCAATAAACAAACACAGAAACTAACGAACAAACAAGAAAACAAACAATTAAGAAAGGAAGCAGACAAACATGAACATCCATTTGACGTACATTAGGCCGTGCAATAGTTAATGTTGTACTTCTGAGGCGTTTTGTCCTCTTCCTTAGTCGTTAGAAAAAAAGAACAATGGGCCCTTTGCACGATCCGGTCACATGGTACGGAATTAGCCATGATGGGGCGCAAGTTACTCAGTGGGACTTTCAAGACAAAGGAAAGTCGGGCTGGACTGGTGCTACTAGCTTTGTTTTTGATGTACCACTGTGTAAGTTGCTTCATAACATGGCTGATTTTGTACCATGAGACCGGATCGTACAAAGGGTCGATTGCCGGCTTGTTTTGAACTGTTTTAACTCTTCACAGGCCGTGAGCACTGCATGACTTGTGATCGCTGTGAAACGGAAGGACACCGGTGTAAGAGGTATAATCCCACCTGTTTATTATGACACTACAAAGTCTGTTCATATGCGTGAAGCAGAAATGGATTTGATTATGAATCTGGAAACTCATATATTTTATCAGTACGGAAGTTCTGTATTATCATTCTTACCTACTTGAATAAGTTTAATACATGTAGTTTATTGGCATGAGAACACTAAGTGTATTTTCATCTGGGCCATTTTTAATAGAGCTTTTGAAATCCTCAAGGGCTATTCTTTAGTGTTTTCACTCATACAGTGTTACAATTTCTTTAGAAACTATTGTCCAGAACAAGGGCCTGAGACCTACCTTAATTCTGCTTGAATTTTTTCCAGTTTCATCGATACAGCTGCCTGCCATATTTGTGGAGGTTTGGGACATAAGAGAAGGAACTGTCCAAATCGCTCTCTTGATTCATCGAAAAAAAGGTACCACCAGCTTACCGATCGTTAGCATTCAGGTAGCAAAATACAGTCTTTAGGTGACTGAATATGGTTTACAGCACTTGTGTTTCAAGGTGGCTTGCAACAGTTTCCAGTACTTTTCAGCACTTTTACTTTGATACATTCATACTGGCACTCTTTTACAGTTGACACTCCAGTAATGGCAACAAACAAATGGCCAATCATTGATGAACAAGTTATGATCAGTTTCGTGATATTATTCACTTCATCATGGGCCCCGAGGGAAAAACTTCCTCGAGATTCGAGGAAAGCACAAAACCAACTGTAGTAATTAAGTGCTCTGTTATACTGGAAATTTTGGTTCTCTGGGTGAGAATTTTAAAACGTGAGCTTTCGGCTTCCAGTCTAAAGCCTTTGACAGCTAAAATGTTATCTCATACTCTCACGTTTTAGTTTTTAAGGCTTTGGACTGAAAGACCAAAGCTCACGTTTGTTAAAACGTGAGCTTTTACAGTTTTAAAAAACTTCTAATTTTACCCAAGATGATTTGTAGTCCTGGTCAATCCTCCATTTTTGCGTTCGATTGCGTTCGACGAAGTGGAACGCAAACCTAATTTTGACCTGTGGCTTTTCAGAGTTGGTCTCGCTGTGCAAGGTTCTAAGCTGAAAAAAAACCACATTCCTGTAAGGACACCAAAATGGCCACCCCGCTTGATTTTTGCAGGGGCATGTCACGGCCAGTAAACTGGTACCGTTTAATGCTA